AAAGAAAGAAAGAAAGAAAGAAAGAAAGAAAGAAAGAAAGAAAGAAAGAAAGAAAGAAAGAAAGAAAGAAACAGCTATCTCAGGGACACTTTGTAAGGAAACAGCAGTTGTCTGGTTGTCTGAATCCAAACACCTCAAGGACAATTTCTCCAGCTGGAAACAAGTTCATGTTTCCAGGCCCAGGAACCTACTCTTCACTTGATTGATAAAAACTCTCTTACTCAAACCCTTGTGTCAAAATATGACTGGACAGTGCTACACTGCCCTGCCCCATCGCTTTGTGTTCTCATCCTTTACAAATGCTGTACAGTCTCTCTTCGAGGATGAGGTTCAGATCCCAATCTGGCTGCCTCCCTAAGCCCGGAAAATAAAGCTTCCATTTTAAGTGTCTGTAAATGAAATGGGTTTTCTCAGCTTCCACCCCAAACCCAACAACTAGCCATCACAACGCCACTGTGAATTCAGTGTCTTGTCCTCAACAGCACCTTTCCCACTGCCGGCCACTAGACCAGATCACGTTTTATTCCCAAAGTCTCTCCCTTCACAACACAGCTCACACACTCTCTTCTCCCTTTCACATACTGCGCTCTTCCATCTTGTCCTCCAACAGCTGACCAGGGCTTTCTGTTTTATGGAAAAACATTAAATTAGGAGGCAGGAGATCACTTTGCATCATTTACCCTCAGATGTGCCAGTGCCCTGCCGGGATATAGATAAGTATGACATATGACTGTGTCCCCCAAGGCCTCCTCTGTTAAAAATGTGTTCATGAACCATAATTCAGACATGGCTTGTGCTCCCCCTTCAAACCAAGCAAATTTCACCTAATGGAACCTTGATCCACAGTGTGGCTGCTGCTAGAGGGAGGAGGTGGGGAAGCCACAAAAGGTTGGAGTGCATACACACAATGGAATTTTTTTCAGCTACAAATAAAAAATAAAATGATGGGCTTTGCAGGAAAATGGATGGAACTGGAAAATATTCCATTAAGTGAGGTGAACCCAGGCTCAGAAAGACAAATACCACTGGCTATCTCCCATATGTGAATCCCAGCTTCTAAATTTTACATATGTGTATTTTTGTGGGAGGCCAGGAACTATAAAGAGGGCAAGGAGAGGGGAATAAAGAGGCTGAAGGGAGGGAGTTGGGGAAGGGGGAATAGAATATTTGACACAGAAATATTTAATTGGAGATGAAAGGCAGGAAGATGATTAAAACAACAACAATAGGTAAAGAAGTCAACCAAAAAAAAGGAAGAAGTCAGTATGAAAATGTTATATGGAAATCTGCAACTTTGTAAGGTAATGGATAATAAAAAGAAAAGGGAGAGAGAAGTGGGGCCTGGTGGGAGGTGCTAGGTAAGTGGGTGAGGCACCTTCTGGATAGCTTCGTGCTGATCCCACAGTGTAAGTTAGTTCCCTAGAAGGTGAATCCACATAAAAGAGCAAGGATGCAGCCAGAGATGGGACTGATCACTAAGAACCACGTGGTAAGAAGAGAGCTCCAACTCTAGCCAGCTGTGCTCTGACCTCCACACACTTGCCACTGAAGTTTCCTGAACACAGCTAGGCAAAACAACAACACAGAACCAAACAACCTAACTAACTAACTAATGAAAGAAAAGAAAAGGAAGGAAGGAAGGAAGGAAGGAAGGAAGGAAGGAAGGCAACAAAACATTAACAATGGTAACAAGACTAAGGATGGGGAGATCGCTCAGTAGCTGAAAACATTTGCCTGGATCCCTGCAGCCCATGTAAAAAGCTAGATGCAGTGTCAAACATTCGGAATCCCAGCACTCCAAGATGGGAAGTAGAAACAGAAGAATCATGAATGTTCCTGGGCTTGCTACCTTGAGTATAGAATGCAGCGGCAGAAACAGCAGGTGAGCCCTTACCAGAAACGTGGAAGATGCACACTGACTCCTGAACGTCATCTTCTGACCACAACATATGTGCTGTGGTGTGTACACGCCCCCTTCCCATCCTTCTTCCCTCCAACTTTTATTTTTGAAGATTTTTAAAATGTTATTTGTGTGTCTGTATATGGGCATGTGCACAGGAGCACAGGTGCCCGCAGAGGCCAGAAGAGGGCATGGATCCCCTGGAGGCGGAGTTTCAGGTGGTTGTGAGTTGCCCAACATGAATGGCAGGAACCAAACTTCGGTCCCCTACAAGAGCAAGTAGTGCTCTTAACCACGGAGCCATATCTACAGCCCTGAATACATACATTTTAAAAAGAGTGGTGCTGATCCCTCTCTGCTTCCTGGCTTCCTCACCATCCTGTATAAGCTCCCATCATGATGCCACCTGCCATATTATGATGTAAAGGGGCTGTCTAATTTTAATGTACTAAAAGAGTAGACTAAATAAATCTTTTTTTTATAAGATAAAAAAAAAACATCAGGCATTATGTTATAGTAGAGAAGAAGAGATTACATTGACTTCCTTATAGGTTGGGGACCAAGCCTTCGTCATACACCCAAGGAAGCACACAAGGAAGGAAGCTTGCTTCCAAGATAACATTTTGCCTTCCCTTCTTTGTACACAGCTAGAACCAGTCTTCCTTTGGAAAAGTAGCTTGGTCTCCTTTCTCTAGAAATCATTTTTCTTTCCCACACCATCAGTTTTCCCCTTTACTGGATCTTCCCCATCAGCATACAAATGAGCTGTCATTTTTCTTCTACTTCAAGAACTAAAATAGAAATTTAAACTCGTCTTCACCCTATGTCCCTTCCAGCTCCCATCCTGCCTTTGTCTCACCTTAACAGTTAAATTCATCCCAAGAATTCATGGTGCTTATTGTCTGCAAAGTCTCTTCCCCAGGTCTTTCACACATGCAGTTTATCATGACATCCAGCACTCTTAGTCAAGGTCACCAACGAACTCCATGGTGACACGCAATGGTTGGTTTGTTCTTTAACTTGTCAGTGGGTAGTAATCTATTTCAACTGCCACTTGAATGCTAGAATCAGAAGGGATGGTACTGACGAGTGTGTCAGGGTAACAGGTGTGCATTCACACTTCCTGAAACTCAGGAAGCTGGTGTGATGATCTGACCTTGAGGAGTTTTGGCACCTGGAGCTGCTCCCGTCCACAGGACATCACACCCTGGAACTCCTGATACTATCTTCTCTTAAACATGGCCTGCTTCATGGATTTATGTGTCATACTTGCATAAGGATCGTGCTAACCTTCTGTTTCATTTCAGCTTCAGCATATGTGCTGCCATCGTAGTGAGCCCTACTCTGTCTCTTTTTCTGGGGTCTTTTATTTGTCTGGCAGGTGTATGGCATGCTCTGGTTGCCAATCTCCTCTTGATTGTGAGAGTGGTCTGCGCTAGCCCCGTGGTTGGAATTCAGGAGCACATCGAAGATGTGGAACCTTTACTGTAAACTCTAGACTTGTGCATCTTACTGTCTCTCCTCAACTTGTTCACTTTGATGTCTGTGAATATCGATACTGATAGTCAGTATTGATGATCTACTTGATCAGATCTAGAATCACCAAAGAAACACACCTTTGAGCATGTCTATGAGGGATCATCTAAATTGGGGTTAACTTAGGAGGGAGGATCCACTCTGAATTTGGGCAGCACTACCCCATAGGCTACAGTCTTGTGCTGAATAAAAAAGTGAAATGAACTGAGGACCAGCATTCATCTCCTTCTCTGCTTTTGGACTGTGGATGAAATGGGACCAGCTACCTCATGTTCCTGCCGCCGTGCCTTTCTTACCATGAAGACTGGGACCATCAAACTGTGAGCCCAAATAAACTATTCCTTAAGTTGTTTTTGTTTTTTTTTTGTCACAGAAATTAAAAACAAAAAACAATGGATGCAGTATCTAACAAGCATCCTATTCCAATCTTAGCATGTTCTGTGTTACAGTTTGAATGTGAAATGCTCCCTCAGAGGCTCTTGTGTTTGAACCCTTGGTCCTAAAAGGCTGCGGTTTTAGAGGTTGTAAAAACTTCAGCTTGAGGAAGTAGTTCACTGAGGGCTGGGAGACAGCTTGAGGTTTATAGCCCAGCTCAGCTTCCAGCCTTCTCTCCGTTCCCTGATCCAAATGGATGTGAGCACGCTCTACCATCACAGCCAACATGGTTGGACTGTATCCCCTTAAACCCCGAGCTGAAAAACTTCTGCCTTAACTGGCTTCATGTCAACTATTCGGTCACAGCGATAAGAGAAGTAACCAATAGATGCTACCCTGAATTTCTAGTTTTTCTTGCCAAATTCAGTCATCACCGTCGTGAATGTCAAGTCCATCTCCCTTAGTCGCTTGGGTGCAAATTTTAAATTTGAGTTTAGTTCAGCCAAGACTCTCCTCTATTACTCTGTTATCTCTTTCAAAGTGTATCCCAAACCTGGCCATTTATCCCTACCTCATTGCTACGCTGTATATGGACCAACTTCCTTAGAATTGAAAGATTATTTCCACGAGACTCAGGAAGTGAGCTAATGTCCCAAGTCCAGGGAAGTTGGAACTTTATAGATGGTCCCTAAGGCTCATCCCTCTAGACAACCCCTAAAGGCTAGCCCAGGGCTATAGGAGCAGTAAATGACTGCTGGGGAGGAGACTGACCGGCTAAGCTGCTTGCAGTTCATGAAGAGCACTCCAGGAAGATGCAGTTTTCATGAGTCATGGCTCATGTTGGGGCAGTGGGTTTTTCAGTGATGGAGCTGCCCTTAAGTCATTCCTGCTCCTCTGAGTAACTCCTCATTCACACTCCCATCAGTAAACCAAATAAACTCATTGGGTCAGCGAGCCAGACTTCGGTGTAATTGCTTCTTTGGTCTATCGTGCGTTCCCTATCTAGGTTAAGTAGATACGTGTGTGTCATATCTCCTCAGGAAGAGTCTCACACGACACTATGCTGGTCCACGTCATCATCAGCTCTTGCTTCAACGATGTCCTAATGGGCTTCCTGTCTCCACTATGTTCCCTCTTAGTCTGCATACCACCTAATAGCTAGAGTGGTCCTGTTAGTCTGTGTCTGACTGCATCAGTCTCCTCAGAGTTCTCTAGTGGATTTCCTTCTCTGTCCTTCTCCTGAAAGGAATTTCTTCCCCACCTTATACCTCTAACTCACCAACTTTCCCAGTTGGCTAATGCTAGCCAATTTACACTCACCAGGGTTTTTAGCAAGCTATAGCTTGTGGTCACGGTGCTGCTTTCATTAACTTACTTTTCCACCCACTAGTGCACCGGCACCCAACCTGTAGGTCACAATTCCCTTGGGGGGTGGGCAACCATCTCACGGGGGTTGCATATCAGAGATTCTGCATATCACATATTTATGCTATGATTCATAACAACACCAAAGTTATAGTGATGAAGCAGCAATGAAGATAACTTTATGGTTGGGGTCGCCAGGGCTTGAGAACTGTATTAAAGGGTCTCAGCATTAGGAAGGCCAAGAACCACTACTCCAGTGTATTCAGAAGTTGGTTATTTCTGGAAATACTGATGGCTGAATTATCCCCTCCTTAGAATATAAAAGTCCATGAGACAAGACTTCTTTTGCTGTGACAATAGACCTTGAGTTCTCAGTTAATATTTGCTGAATGGATGCCTTTACCCCTAGTGTAACATTTTCAGTGCTAAGAATTACTTCTGTTTTAATTTCATCATTACAATGATTTAATTTGTGTGTAGGTGAACGTATGTGCACATGTGTGGGGGACACCCTGGGGATCAGTGCATGTGTTGCGCAGAGGTCAGAGGGTAGCTTGTGGGAGTTAATTCTCTTCCATCATGTGGCCCCAGAGGTCAAGCTCAGATGACTTGGTGGCAGGTGCTTTACCATTGAGCGATACCGGCGCCCCCATCCTTTTCTATTTTAAATATTCAGAACTTGTTCTCAGCTCTCTCTATATTCTTGCCTTAATTTATTACAGAATATACTGTTTCCCTGAAACATGAAATGTCACTTTTCTGTATTAAATTATGTCACAAAGATTGTGTCATTAGAGACAGTTAATGTCATCTTTTCATTAAGTGTACCAGATTGCTAGGTTTTTATAGTCTGTCTGCCAAAAGACTGTTTATCATGAACTTTTCCTTGCTTCCATCTCCAGGTTCTTTTGATTTGATTTTTTCTTATAAAAATAATTGGAAGAGTTTGGGGAGCATCTCTAATCTTCCATAAAAATGGACTAGGTTTGTAACAACTTTTACTGAGGACATATTTACAATGTCATCAGAGGCTGCTCACTATTGGAATTTTATCTGGTTGCTGTGATAAAACACTACGACCAAAAGCAATTTGAAGAATAAAGGGTTTGCTTGGCTTACACATTCAGGTTACAGTCCATCAATGATCTCAATGAAGAACTCAAGATTAGATTCCAGAAGCAGCAATCATAAAGGAATGCTGCTTGCTTGCTTGCTTGCTCTCACTCACAGGCTCATGCTCAGCTAGATTTCTTTACATAGCGCAGGCGCACCTGCCTGGGGATAGAGTTGCCCACGGTTGGCTGGGTCTTCCACACCACATAAGAATCAAGTCAAGACAATCCCTCACAGTCACAGCCACAGGCCAGTCTATCCCTCAACTGTGGCTCTCCTCTCAGATGACTCTAGGCTGTGTCACATTGACAGGCAAAATAACTACGACACGTGCCTGTTGATATCATCTTCATGGACACCAGCAGAAATGAAGAGACTAGTTAGTGGCCCTTAGAGGTTGCACACGGAAATAAAAAGCTAGAAGATTGCACTGTGGAGACGGCTCAGTGGAAGATCTGAATTTGAATCCCCAGAAACCATGTAAAAACCTGCATATGGATGGGAGGCCAAACCAGGAGAATCCACAAAACCTCCTGGGTAAGCTAGCCTGGTTTACATAGCAACGAACAAGAGACCCTGTGTCTAACAAGGTGGAAAAAGAAGTCAGAAACCTGAATTCTCCTCTGACCTCTACATGCGCACTGTGACACACATGTATCACACACACACACACACACACACACACACACACACACACACACTACATACACCCTCTTACACACAAGAGCACATCACACATCTCTCTCTCTCTCACACACACACACATACACAAAGACAAAAGAAAGCTGGATATCTGAGGCTACAGGGCTGGAATTAAAATCCAAATGTTCCCTCTGAGACCAGTGTTTTCTCATCAAACAGACCTCAAAAGTGTGCTAAAAGTGCAAAAGCAAGACTGGCAAGGTGGCTGAGCAGGTAAAGGCACTTACATTCAGGCCTGATGACTGAGTTCACTTCTCAGGTCTTAGTGCAAGGAGAGGATTAATGCCTGCAAGCTGTTCTCTGACTCCCATGTGCCTAATATGGCACAAGTTCGGTCTTGCACACTTGAATACAGACACAAGTAAATAAATGAATGAAATACAATTTTAAATACAAAAGCCACCTACCAAACACGCCAGTGGTCCTTTTTTTGTGGTACTGTGGACCAAACGAGGGGCTCTCACACACAGGAACATGCCTTACTACTGGGTTATGGCATATGTGATACTTATTTAAAATGAGCATCCCAAGGCTCCTCTCTAGTCCTCCTGGCCCAGGACCCTGGAGGGCCGAGTCCAGAAATCTATAGCATGAACACCTAGTAGACTCCAAGATCCACCATGCTGCCTACTTTTTAAAGAGAATAGACAATACTCACGCCTCTGTATCCATGGCAGACTGTCCCCAGAAGCCCTCGTGGATGCCAATTATGATGATGTTTCCTTTCTCAAGAAAAGGTTTATTTTATTGGTAATTGTGTGTGTACGGGAGGGTATGGTTGGTGCCCAAGGAGTCCAGGAAATCGTTGGATCCCTTGGATCTGGAATTAAAAGTAGTTGTAATCCACCCAAACTGGGGGCTGGGAACTTAACTCATCGGGAAAAGCAGCAAGTGCTCTGAAGTGCTCTTCTCTCCCCGCTCTGAGGTTGCTGTATTTATATAAAATGGTGTGAATTATTTTACAGAGTGCGTACCTTCCCATACGCTTTAAATTATCTCCCTATTACTTATTACAGCTAATGCAATGTAAATGCAATGCAAATAGCTGTTATATTGTATTGTCTAGGGAATAATGACAAGGGAAAAAACCTGTGCACATTCAGTACAGACGTAATTATATTTTCTGAATATATTTGATACATGGTTGGTTGAACCTATGAAAACAGAACCCACAGATAGAGAAAACCAACTGCTGTCTCTTGAGACTTTACTCTATAGGGGAAATAATACTACTTAATTTTGTTAATTT